TCCAGGTTAGGGCACATGCCTGGGTTGTGGACTGGATCCCCAGTAAAGGATGTGTAAGGAGGAAGCCAAGCAATTATTTCTTTTTCACTGATGTTTCTATTTCTCTATCCCTCTCCCTTCTTCTCTCTAAAATTAATAAAAAAGTCACTCTCTGTGCCTCAGTTTCCTCATTTAGTAAAACAAGGATAATACCACCTTCCCCACAAAGTTGTTTAAAAAAAGAATAAGGTACTAAATACAACATGAATAAACCTAAAAAATATTCTAAGTGAATATGTCAGATATTAAAGGCCACATATTGTATTATTGCATATGAAATAGGTAAATCCATAGAGACAGAAAGTAGACTACAAGGTGTCAAGGCCCAGGGAGAGGAAGGAATAGTGACTGACCATAATGGGTTCAGGTTCTCCTCCGGAAGTGATGAAAATGTTTTGGAACTAGATGCTTGCACATCATTGTGAATGTACTAAATGCCACTGAACTATATACACTTTAACATGGTCAATTCTATGTTATGTGATGTTTGCCTGAATTTAAAAAATGTCAGTAGTGCTGAGGTTGAGAAACTATTCTAAACGTATGTACCAAAAGTTATTTTTGTCTTAAATAGGTAAAACCAGAAAGGACTGCATGAAAGACAAAAAGCATCAAGCACTATAATGAGTTTTTTCTTCTTAAGGAGTCTGACCCATAAAGAGTTAATTACTTTCCCACTGGTATAGCTCTGTGGTTGAGCATCAACTTGTGAACCAGGAGGCCACAGTTTGATTCCTGGACAGGTTGCCTGGATTGTGGTCTTGATACCCAGTGGGTGTGCAGGAGGCAGCTGATCAAAAATTCTCTTCCTTGATGTTTCTATATTTCTTTCCCTCTTCTTTCCTCTCTGAAATCAATAAAAATATATATTTGTTAAAAAGTTAATTACTTCACTTCTTTTTTTCCTGATGGGAAAGACTTGCCAGGGAAGAGGAATGGCCCAAGCAGATTTTACATTACTGCTATAAAATTATGAATATAATAATTTAAGATAAATTGATGACATCATCTAAACAGCAGAGGCATGAATATGCTACTGTAATAAAAGAGATTATCAGATTTAACACAGGCCAGAACATGAAATAATTTTCTTTAAATGTGTGCCTGCACTTGAACTATAAACCAGGGAGCTGTCAAATAAAATTAAGCACTACATTATGAGATAGTCACTTTACAAGGCTTAGCAGTATGAACATTCATTCGCCATTTGAAAATATGGAGATGTATGCTCAGAGTGAAAATTTAGGATTGGCCTCAACTAAATAGTTTGGTGGTGCATCAAAAAGCTTAGAGATTTACTGTGGTAGCTATAAACCATTTTTTCTTCCACAAAGTCTTAATAAGTGGGAGGACAAGCTTGGGTTCCTTGGGCTAAAGGAGCCAGGCACATCCAGGGACCCAAAGGAATTATGCTGCTATGTTTTAATTAACACACACACACACACACACACACACACACACACACAAAGACTATGCCTGACAGTACTGTCACTGTTTCTCTACAGCATGGCAATATGTTCATGAATACTAGACCATCAAAAGCATGTCACTGTTAAGTATAGAAAATGAAAATGGAAACTGACTTTTCAAATTAAGATTTTTATAAACATAAGATTTTCTTACAGGCTAGGTAAAAGTTATTTCCAAAGACTAAATACGAACAGAGGAAAAACAGAAAAAAATGCTGTTACCTTCATGTTTTTTTATCTTAATTATTCCCCACAAATCCTGTCAGTTTGCTATCACCCAGCTATTCCAGATATTATTTTCTGTACAACAACGTAAAATTCATCCTTTTGAAGATGCATGGTTAAATAATTATTCCTATTTTCTATTAAAAAAAAAAGTAGTACCATAATGTGGTTAGTTATGATTGAAACAGCATGATGAATTGCTTCCATAAGCTGTGTTCTTAAGTTAAAGATAGCAAAATTAGCAATTAATAACTGCATATGCTAGTTAATACGACAAATTACTGCTATAGCACTTAGAAAATGCACTAAGATCAAAATAAAAAGCTTCTGCACAGCAAAAGAAACCATCAACAAAACAACAAGATAGCCCACTGCATGGGAGAACATATTTGCCAATGTCCTCACTGATAAGGGTTTAATCTCCAACATTTACAGGAAACTCATACAACTTAACAAAAGGAAAATAAACAACCCAATCAAAAAATGGGCAATGGACATAAATAGATACTTTTCCAAAGAAGACATAAGCCAAAGCCGGTTTGGTTCAGTGGATAGAGCGCTGGCCTGTGGATGAAGGGTCCCGGGTTCGATTCTGGTCAAGGGCATGTACCTTGGTTGTGGGCACATCCCCAGTAGGGGGTGTGCAGGAGGTGGCTGATCTATGTCTCTCCCTCATTGATGTTTCTAACTGTCTATCCCTCTCCCTTCCTCTCTGTGAAAAATCAATAAAAATATAGTTAAAAAACAAACAAACCAAGAGGACATAAGGAAGGCCAAGAGATATATGAAAACATGCTCAAAGTCACTAATCATCTGAGAGATGCAAATCAAAATGACAACATGGTACCATCCCACATCTGTCAGAATGGCTATCACCAACAAATCAACAAATAACAAGTGCTGGCGAGGATGCAAAGAAAAAGGAACCCTTGTGCACTGCTAGTGGAAATGCAGACTGGTGCAACTACTGTGGAGAACAATATGGATTTTCCTCAAAAAACTAAAAATGGAACTCCCATTTGACCCAGTGATCCCACTTCTAGGAATATATCCAAAGTAACAAGAAACACCAATCAGAAAGGATATATGTACCCCTATGTTCATAGTGGCACAATTCACCATAGCTAAGATTTGGAAACAGCCTAAGTACCCATCAGCAGATGAGTGGGTTAAAAAACTATGATACATCTAAAAAAGAAGGAATTCTTATCATTTGCAACAGCATGGATGGAACTGGAGAGCATTATACTAAGTGAAATAAGCCAGTCATGGAAAGATAAATATCACATGATCTCATTCATTTATGGAATATAATGAACAGCATAAACTGATGAACAAAAACAGAGACATAGAAGCATTGATCAGACTGTCAAACCGTCAGAGGAAAGGTAGAGGATTGTGGGGGTAAGGAGGAGAGATCAACCAAAGGACTTGTATGCATGCTTATAAGCCTAACCAATGGACACAGACAACAGGTGAGTGAGAGCATGAGTGGGGGGATGGGGGGATAAGGACACATATGTAATACCTTAATCAATAAATAAATTTCAAAACATAAAGTGGTCAACACAAACAGTTGATCACTTTACAAGCTTCTGTTTGTTTGTAAAAGTAGACTTTTTGAAGCACTTCCCTTATCTCATTTCAAGGTAGGAAGCATGCCCATCTTGCAGATTACATTACCATGCCCTGTGCTTTATCAAATATTCTATTAATTGCCTGACCATTTAAATAAATACTTGCTGAGAAACTTTTTAAAGTAAGCACCTAATGATCTCTTTGCTAATGACCTGATAATTATTCTAAAAAGGAAAAGAAGAAACAAGAAAAAATGTGTTGCTCTTTCTCAGTGTAGCTCTCTTCTCTAAATTCAACCAAAGTTTGCGATTAGTTGAAGACCAAACAGGGTGAGATACTCTGGAAACAACTGACTTGGTGTTAGGAAATGGCATGGATTAGTCTGAAAATTGATGTTTTTCTTTTTAATTTATTCATTTTTTTAAATTTCTAAAATATCAGAGATTAGTATCTTTTGTTGAGTTTGATAAAAGAATCATAATCTCTGGGGTTACTCAATCTCCAAGGAAAGCCCCGGGGTTGAGGGGAGAAGGCAAAATCTGATTCAATAGGTTCAGGAAGATATTTTCCATGATTAATCCAGGGCCTACCAGGGTCAATACTAAACTTGGGCATATAAAGTGCCTAGAGCTCAAAACATAAGGTGGAATTCTCTTTCACTTGCACAATCCTAGTGAGCCTGCTGATAAAAATAACTTCATTTTAACTAATAAAAAGACAGAACCAATGAAGATATATTATACTTATTCAATAAGGACAAAAAAGAGCAGATACCACTGTTCTCTTTTATTGTACTTTATAGAGTTCTCAACGAGCTTTTCATATGCATTATCACATTATGCCAACCTTAGCTTCCTGAGGCTCGAAGTGCAAAATATATTAATCCTCCCTCAGATATGAACAAACAAGTTTAGGGGAGCTCTAGGATTTGGTCAAGGTGGTAGGGGTAGACTTGAATTCATATCTTTGATTATCTGTGTCTAGTACTCTTCTCACAATACTACACAACACCAAGTCTCATTGTGAGGTCCTTTATAGCATCAGATTTTATAGTCTACATTGATTAGAATTATTTATGAAGTCATTAGTATCGGGTTTATACTAACAATGAAATGACCTTAAATTTGTCTATTAGTCACTGACTCTAAATAGCCTTATAAGAAAGGAAAAATAACAAATGGAATTCATCTAATGGTTCTTAATGTCGGGCTTTAAAATTTTAGGGGAAATCAAAACCATTTATAAATCAAATTTTTAATACTGTCATTGGTTGCATGTTTTTATTTATGTTATTATCAACAAGGCTTAGAAACAATTAGAAGCATATTTTGCTAAGAATTGTAAAGAATCTGGGATTAGGACAGGTCTAGATAGTATCTACAATAGTTTGAGCTTTCTCTTTTTGTGCTGGGAGGTGTTTAGAAAAGAGAAGAAAAAAAAGACCCTTTCCAGTGAGCAACGTGGTCTGTTGGTTTGTCTCTGTATAGGCCTGCTTCAGACAAAATCTTTCTAACACTAACCAAAAATATAATTTAAATATACCCCAACACACACACACACACACACACACACACACACACACACACACATGAAAACCTTGGAGTTGCAAATCTAATTTCCTGGGTACATTGGATTAATATGGAGAGAGTCTAAATTATTTAAATTATTTAAAAGTGAAGGGAAACTTACTCCTCCCCATGTTTTCTTGTGGTCTCTGGGAGGTCCCTGGATGATGACTCCCTGTAAAAGCACAGAACATACACACAGTCAGATTCACAGAGGCTGAGTCACTACATCAAATGAGTCCTTTGAAGCCGATGATGTAAACATGAGCGTTCATTTCAGTGCATTCTAATCTTTCCCCTTTACATAAATGTTTTCTCCATCACAAATAAATATCTAACTTCAGAGGAAAGAAACAGTATCCTGGAAGCATGAGGTCTATATGAAGTTACTGTGACCTTGTTTATCTGGCATTGGTTTCTGTCCTTACCAAATAAAACTCATCAAATTGGTCACATGCTTATCTCTTAGGAGATAGCCATGATATCAATAAAAATGGTAGACAAAAATTCCAAAAGGCCAATTTAATAGCAAAGCTATCATATTATTAGTTTGCCTGGCTTCTAATCAATGTTATTCTGTCACAAATCCAATGCTCTCTATAGTGTAACATTTTCCTGAATGGTGTTAAACAGCAGTACTTCTAATCAAATTATTTCTGAGGCAAAGCAGTCCACAGAGTTATTACCCATAAACAGTATGAAGCAATGACCCTGAACTATTAACCACGAAACCTTGGAGGAAAAAAAACACATATTGAAAATGCAGGAGGGAGGAGAAAATGGCGACTGAATAGACAGACATGTTCTGAGCCTTGACCCGGAGCAGATAGAAGGAGCAGCTGAGGGTTGCTCGGGGAATGTTTGTTGGCAAGCGAAGGGATAGCAAAACTCTAAAAGAAAGTGGGGGACTGATAGACGGGGTTCCCTGACCTGGAAGCCGTACTGCAGTTAAGATCTCCCCCAGAGCTACGGTTCAGACAGAAAACTGCTTCATCTTGCAAGGGAAAGTGAATATTATCTGAAGACTGAAAACCCACAACTGTGGTGAACACTGAACGGTTGTGAGTCCCCAATGGGCACAAACACTTGGATTCAAGGGTGCGCTTCACTCCACCACGGAAAGGTCAGCTTTCGCCAGGGATAAGGTGAGGTATCTGGGTCCTGGTGGCCACAGCGGAAGCTGCGGCAGTGGCAGTGGGAGAGAGAAATGTGCGTGCTATAGGACCTGGAGGACTGGGGAAGTATGTGCCTAGAAAAGTCCCTGGTTGTTGGGTCTGGTGTGATCCGTGAATGTGGAAGGGGTACTCAAAGCTGCTAACAGAAGGGATCTCTAAAAAGCAACCCATTCCAATCTGAAACAAAGGGAGAGCATATGGATTTGAAAGGTGAGCAAGCTGCTTAAACTTGCGCATAGACCAATCATTTGCACACGTGAGCTCTTTCCTCTTCATTCTCTTGCTTCTGATTACTAAGTAAAAATCACCCAGTTTGGCATAGTTGGGAGACTGCAGGGGAAAGTTGTTTTTCTGGAAACTGGGGATCGGAATTGGAAGAGACCACTGGAGAGCTAGCTCTGAGGCAGCCCACCTCCTCAAACCAGTATTAAGTGCCACAGAGAAAGAAGGCTAGAACAGCCAGAGTCTGGGAAGTCAATGCAGAAACACTGGCACCTAGGGGCTGAATTACAAACTGACTTTATTATTATTATTTTTATTTAATAAAAAATAAAGTAATACAAGAAATTAAAACACTGCCTACTTAAAAATAAGGACTGGCTTACAACACTAAAGAGCAGTGCAATGCAGGGAACTACAATACTGTTCGGACTGAGAAACAGGCATGCCAAACAGAATAGAGGAAGTGAATGACCTTCACTACTGCATATTTTTTTATTCTAATTCTTCTTATTTTTTAATTTTATTTTCATTTTTTCAATCTTCTACTTAAGAAACACATTTTTTTCTTTTTTTGTCACTTGATTTTATCTTTTTAATTATTACATTTTTATTTTCAATCAGCATTATTACTTCTGCTATTTTACCTTTTTTTCTTTCTTTTTTTCTTTTTTTTTAAAGTGTCATATCATTTTCTCTTTATTTTACATTGGGATTAGTATTCTACATTCTATTTTCATCTTTCCTTTAACATCATTTTACCCTATCTCAACATGACCTTTATGCCAACACTCTTTTCCTAACCCTTCCCCTTTTGATGTCCTATTTATCTTAACCCTTTCCTGCTTTAGATTTTCCCTATTTTTTCTGTCTATTCCCTGCTAAAATTTCACCCCAGTTATATATCTAATTTCCATTCCCCTGATCCAAGTACACCACTCTCTTCACTGTCTTAACTATCAACAAACAAATAAACAAACAAACAAAAAACACCTTGTATTTCTCTCTGTCCTTTTATTGTTATTTACTTGAATATTTATTATATTGAATTTTTATGCTGTTTAGTGAGATTGTTTTGCTTATTCTTTTTTTGCTGTTGTAGTTTGGTATTTTTTATTTGCTTTGTTTTTGTTTTTTTACTTCTGTTTTCCCTTTCCTCACTTATATTAGTTGGTGTAGTTTATATTAATCTCCAAATACTGTTTCTGGCATTGGCTTTGGGATTAGTGGTTGTTCTATTGGAATTTAATCCCCATATATATAATTTTTCCCCTTTTCTCTCTTAGTCTTGTTCTTTTTCTCTCTTACTTTTTTTTTTCCTGTTTCCCAATTTCATTTTGACACTCCATTTTTATTTATTTTCTTTTTACTCTTCTTCTTTCTCTCCTATCCCATAATTTGCCGTTTTACAGTGATCACCTTTATTGGAGGTTATTAATATCACAAATATATTTCTGTTCAGTACCTTATGTGTTCTACCGGATTGTGGTGAATTATGTGCCTTTAAATCAAAGCAGGACAGAGAGAACTACATAACCAGACATCCTGAAAAGAGAGACCATGTGGAGATAAAGAAACAGCCATACTTGCACTGATTGGTTGGTGGGCATGGCTGGTGGGCATGTCCTGTGGGTATATCAGAGTGATTGTTAATTTGCATATCACTCTCTTATTATATAGGATGCTGAAGGGTATTCTGTAAGAAGAGGAAGAAGAAGAAAAAGGTAAAGATAAAAAATTTTGTACAACAAAGTGAAAACAAATATATATCAAGTGAACCTAAAAATCAAATGCATAAAATACTTGATGAACAGAACAGACTGTTGAATGTAATAGAATCAGGGGCATGGAAAGGGAGCAGACTGACAATTCTCAGGGGAGGGGAGGTTATGGGATGTGTGAGAAGAGATTGGACAAAAAGCTTACACCTATGGACGAGGTCAGTGGGGGAGGGGCCTCGGGGGTGAGAACTAAGTAGAGGGGAGCTATGGAAGGGGAGAAGAGAAACATCTGTAATGATCTGAACAATAAAGTTTTTTTTTAATAGAAAGAGAAAGAATAGAAATGGAAGAAGGAACACAGCCTAAAGAAAATGGCTACAAACAAGTACCCATCAATGATCCTACCTAACAAAGTAATATTCAAATTAACCATCACTATGCTTTACCCACCAGCCACGCACACCAGCCAATCAGAGTGAATATGCAAATAAACCCAACCAAGATGGCTACAGCCACAGAGAGCATGAGGGAGGCTTTGGTTTCCCAGGCAACAGAAAAAGCCAAGCTTTCCTCCTGCCCTAGCCGGCCTAAGCCTCCACTCAAGGCTACAAAGTTTCAGTTATAGAAGGTAAACAAATCCAAACAGAAATGGCTGCTGGCCATGGAGCGAACAGGAGGCTTAGCTCTGCTCCAGGCTACAAAGTTTCAATTGTAGAAGGTAAATCATTTCCAGAAACCAGGGCCTCTGCTTGGGTTGCCAGGAGGCATGGCTGACCTGCAAACCACCAGCCCCTTGCCCAGGCCACCCCATGCCCCAAGGGAACTCCCACCCTGATCCAGGACACCCTTCAGGACAAACCAGCTGGCCCCCACCCATGTACCAGGCCTCTATCCTATTTAATAAAAGAGTAATATGCAGATTACCCATCACTCCAACACACAATAGCTGCCCCCATGTGGTCAATCATCCTGCTCCTATGTGCACACAAGATGGCCACTACAAGATGGCCAGCAGGGGAGGGCAGTTGGGAGGCACCAGGCCTGCAAGGGGGGGGGGGCCAGTTGAGAGGGACCAGGCCTGCAAGGAAGGATAGTTGGAGGCAATCAACCCTGCAGGGGAGAGCAGTTAGGGGTGACCAGGCCAGCAGAGGAGTGAAGTTGGGGGCAAACAGGCTGGCAGGGGAGCAGTTAGATATCAATCAGGTTGGTATGGGAGTGGTTAGGGAGAGATAAGGCTGGCAGTCATAAGCGGTTAGGGGTAATGAGGAAGGCAGGCAGGTGAGCAGTTGTGAGCCAGCAGTTCTGGATTGATCCCTTGAGAGGTCCCAGATTGGAGAGCATGCAAGCTGGGCTGAGGGACCCCCCCCCCCATGCACGAATTTTGTGCACCGGGCCTCTAGTAAACTCATATATAAGTGCATTAAATGTTCCAATCAAAGCACACTGAGTAGCTGTATGGGTAAGAAAACCTGTCCCATATATATGCTGTCTACAACAGACCTACCTCAGAACAAAGGGTATGGAATAATATTTTTTAGGAAAATTGAAATGATAAAAAATTGGGGTAGCAATACTTGTACCTGAAAAATTAGAATGAACTCCATAACAAGTGATAAGGAAGGCCACTTCATAATACTAAAGGGATCAATATAACAAGAGGATATAAATCTGGTAAACATATATATGCACCCAATACAGGAGCACCCAAATACATTAAAACAAGCAAACAAAAAAAACTTCTGAAAGATATCAAGAGAGAGATCAACAGCAATATATTCATAGTAGGTAACTTTATTACCCCATTTACATTACTGGATAAATCTTCTAAACAAAAACTGAACAAAGAAACAGCAATCCTAAATGATTCACTATAACAGATGGAATTAGTTGACACCTTCAGAATATTTCACACAAAAGCTACACAATATACATTCTTCTCAAGTATTCATGGGACATTGTCAAAGAGGATAATAGGACACCAGCAAAGTCTGTTCAGATTTAAGAAGATTGAAATCATATAAAGCATCTTCTCGGAATATAATGACATAATATTAGAAATC